GGATTTCCGTGGTACCAAGTCCGAGATAGGTGAGATGGGCCCCTACAGAGGTCCCGCTTATCGGCAGCATATGATGCAGCATGCGCATGCATATGATCGACCAACTGATCATTCCTTTTATGAGTAAGTTCGTTTAATTTAGTTTTTTTTTGTTCCCGGAATAGTATAGCAGGATCAGAACTTTGATCGGAACAAATTTTGACGCATTTAAATGTTAGGAAAGGATCAGGGTGGCCGCTCGTTGCAAAATGCACTCTTTTCTTCCGAATTGTTATTCAAAACTATCTTTGTTGAAAAATGGCATTAATCCCCCATCTCTCAGTCCTCAGGTATGCTCCCAGTTCACGTACGGCCTCGTGAAAGTTTTGAGGAGAAAATTGCTAATTCGTGGACCAGAAAAGCTGGAAAGCTGAAATTTTTAGGAAAAGCTGAAAAGCTGGAAAGAACAATTGTTTCACAAAAAAAAGCTAGCGTTTTGTGAATTAAAGCCCGGCTAAATTTGCAGCATGTATCCAAGTGGTAGACAGACAGTTGGTCCATATCTTGGCCATCGCATAGCACATGAACTGTATTCCGGTGAGAACACGTTACCTCGTCGTCCGCAATCTTCCTTTGATTCTTCCGCCTATGCTAAGTAATCGTTTTTCTCATTCATATAATTTAATTTTTGCTAATTTTTCCTAGAGACAGATATTTTTTGTTTTTTGAAACATATTAGGTAGCGGACATAATCTCGATATTCAGCTCTGTTAGATAAATGGCACTCGAAAAGGGCACTGTTTATTGTATAATTAAATGTTTTTCCTGAATTTAAGCGTTTTTTAAAAACCTAGCCGATTGTAGCAACCAGGTTAACCATAGAAACCTTTTTTTTGACGAAGGCGCGAAGATTTCAGCATGAAAGAACAGTATGAGAAAAGAAGGTAAGAGTGAGATAAGACGTTTCGGTGCACTAAATCATATACGCCTTAAATTGAGATAAGAGGTTTCGGTCCATTAAGTCATATACGTCTTAACTCAACACCGCGCGACAGGACCTCATCAGTATGACGGTCGCAGTGTTTAATGGAAAAGGCAGAGAAAAGAGAATGACGACAGGAAGAAGCGGAGGGGGAAATGATAATGATTGTGGGATTAGAAAGCGTAAGAGAACTCTCTGCTTGCACTTCAGGTGTAATGATTGAATTGCACAATATGTAAATGTTTCCCAGGCATCAGCATTTGAGTGATGTTTTCGCGCAAAGCAGTCCAGAGAAAGATTTCTCGGAGAACGATGATGAAACCAGTGGAAGCGATAGTGAAATTGCACGAATTCATTACGAGCAGGAGATGGTTGGTTTACACAAATTTTCCTGAGATTTTGATACCCTAAACAATCACTTTGAGATACTCCACGTACTGTCGGTTTTTTTATCCTGTACTTCACAAATAGTATTTGCTTTTCTACTTTTTTAATGCTTTAGAATTTCGTATATCAGAGAATTGAGTAGATACTGTTTCGATTTTACTGTCCGTAGGAGACAGAGATATTCTGAATTAGTCCACTGCCAAAACTTTCACGTGCTCGTACGCAAGGCTCAGACATGCGTGAAGATTGCTATCGCGATTTTGGGATGGCACTTGGCCAGAGAGCTCACTGGGCATAATTTCAGCAAAACTTGCTTGGTTCTCGAGTTGAAATTGTTATTTTAATTTTAGATGATGTATGTTTATGTAAAAAGTAAGGGTATGAAAGTAAGGGAATAAAAGGGAATGTGAATAGGTTAAATCTGAATAAAAACCTCAATAGGAATGTTTCGGTCTATCAAGTCGCATACATTCCTGTTCAGTGCTGCAACTGGATCTCGTCAGTATGACGGTTGCAGCAAGCACCCACTGGTTGGACTAAGTCAGTCACTTTCAAGTGTTGCTTAGAAGTAAGATAACGGCGGAACTTGTATGCATGCATTTATGCGTATTTGGACATATAGGTAGAAATTCTCGAAAAAACAAAAACTCACAATTTGCCACATATTACTTGGTATTTGAAAAGGCCACTGACTCGCTATTTGAATCATATTTGAAAGGCCCTGCAGTTGTGAGTTTGACAATCGTGCCATTTTCTTTCTTCATTTTACGGTTGTTTTGATCAATGCTGCATCGCATGAGTGTTCGGCCTTTTGGATATCCTGAAATGCCTTTTGTTTTTGAAGAAGTTATTGACTGATTGGCTTGCTAAATAGCATCATACATTTTAAATAAGATCAATTAGAACGTTTCTTATGTTAAAACGCATGAAAATAAAAAAGTTTTTTGTTGGAAGCTAGAAAAAGACGCTTTCGTAAGTCCGGTAGGTGAGATGTGTACTTTTTTTGCCCTTCTCCCTTCTGTGTTGGAAAATGAAAAGATTGTTGAAATATTCGCGTTATGCTGTATCAGGGAAGTAAGGAATAAATTTCGAATAAGCCTTAGTTGAGCTCTTTAATGTTAGCTTCTCACTATAAGTGCCGAGTGCAGCATCCAGAATGACCTTGGAAACAAACAGGTGAGACGTGATAAAATTCGGAAAAAAAGGAAAGTATAAAAGGAGAAGGCCAAACTGAGATAAAACGTTTCGGCCCATTAAGTCATATACGTCTTAACTCGACAGTGCGACTGAACCTCGTCGGTATGACAATAGCAGTGCTTAATGAGAAAAAAAAGGTGGAAAATGAAAGAAAGGGAAAGAAAGATGAGAGAAAAAAACGGAAAAAAGGTATGATGGAGGAAGACGGTTTTAATATAGCAAATCCTGAAATATGACTTTTTTTTAGACGCGACGAGCAGCAGCAACAGCAACAGCATCGATGCGTTACAATGCTGTATCAGCAACTGCACCGAATGAATACTACTACTTCGGTGTTATACAACTGCCCCAGGTAAATTTGTTCTTCAATTCCACAACTTAGGTTAAAACTAATGAATTTTTTTTTCTTAATTTTCAGATTTCAAGTGAAAACCCCATCTTCATTTTCACTTTTTACAGTAGAGGAAAGCTTTAGAAATTAGCCTGATTGTTAGCCTGAGTGTTAGCCTGGAGTGCTGTTTTGCTCTGAGGAGCTTATGTGGTAATTCTGGTCATTGCATTAAAACTTTATGGACGGAGAAAAATTCTTTTTAGTTTGCATAATTCTCAGTTTTTAACGTTTGCAAAATAGGATTCTGCTCCCAGATTTACTCCAAGTCTAATAATTTATCTTTTTTTGAAAATAATTTTTCATCATACTTTTTTCCCAGAAATTTCAGTTTCCCTTTTACATGATCTTTCATCGATTTAACCTCCGTTTTAATTAGAAAAAAACAGGAAAATTCTTTACCTAAGCATCAGCTTTATGAGTGGGGATGTCCCGCCATAAATAGAGGGACATCCTCACTCATAAAGCTGATGCTTAGGTAAAGAAAGCTGAAAGCCAATAAGATAAAACTGATGCCTCGGTAAAGCTGCGAGCTCTAGCTTTACCTAAGCATTAGCAGTTTGATCTCACAGCCGTACCTAAGCACTAGCAGTTTGATCCCTGAGCCTTACCTAAGTATCAACTTCATAAATACGGAAGCTTCACCTAAGCATCAGCAGTTTGATCCGCTTTATGGACGGAAAGGCGGAGAGGAAGTGAAGGATCCTTTTTTTAAGGCTGTATGGGAAAGCTGTCCTGTCAATTAATGGTTGGAATTGACTGTTTTCTTTCTGGTTATGCTTGACTGGGATTGTCTAATTGCCATGAAAACCACAGCATCATGATCTGACGGATTTGCATCCTGTATCCTCTAATTGAGCCATATCCTCTATCCTTTAATTGAACTCTAACTGAGCTGGATATTCGGCATGAATGGATTTATTTTCATGATTATAGCAGTGACTGCGTGACGATGTTTTGAGCTTGGTATTCAGCGAGAATAAATTGATTTTTATCATGATAAAAGCATTTTTCATGATTATAGCAATAACTGACTGTGTGATGATGTTTTAAGCTTGATATTCAGCGAGAATAAACTGATTTTTATCATGATAAAAGCAATTTTCACGATTTGAGCAATGACTGCGTGATATTCGAAGCTTGTTATTCAGCGAGAATAAATTGATTTTTATCATGATTAAAGCAATTTTCATGATTTGAGCAATGACTGCGTGATATTTTAAGCTTGTTATTCAGCGAGAATAAACTGATTTTTATCATGATAAAAGCAATTTTCATGATTATAGCAATGACTGACTGCGTGATGTTGCTTTTAAGGAAAGAGTGCAACAAGTGATGTGCCGTATGCCACCACCTCAAGAGTACTTCAGCCTACCTCCAATCGAGAAAGCGGCCTATCTTTTTTACTGCACCCTCTATCAGCATCATTATCAGCCGGTGGATTTATTCCACAAGAAATTCAATCGTGAATACTTCAGCTACATGTGTGAAGGAGATTCGGCCGAGCTTGCCCTCTGGAAGGTTCTTTTTTTAAATGTGTTTTTGCGCTAATAAAAAATGTAATGTGATAAGAGCGTGACTACGTATGTATGCGTTTAAGGATATATATAAAATTCAGCAATCGCGCATGCTTATATTGCGCATACGGCTACGTCAAAGTTCACATTTGGCACTGTGCTAACTCGAAAACTAGCGGGAAAACAGTAGTTGAAATTTTGATAGAGTATTTACCATTATATATGGGAATTAATTATGAGGTAGATACTGAGATGATCATGACGGGATATTGAGATATTGACGGGGCCCTAAGATATATACACTTTTCTGTATAAAATGAACCTTCTACGTATAATGTAAAAAGAAAAGTTTTTTATGCTGCTGGTATATTATTATAGATCTGTAAGCAC